TACCCTGGCAGCACCCAACAACCGGGTAAGGAATTTCAAATTTTGAAAAATTAATTATTAAGTTTTTTGAATGTGTTTTGGAAAAATCACAACAAACGTCATATCAAAACCTACAAAGTTAGAGCAGTCATAATTGGAGACAAAATTGGCAACCCCCTGAGAGAACTCTGATAGCCCCCAATTATATGGTTGGGAATTTCAAATTTTGCAGAAAAAAAATCAGTTACGTTTTCTATTTTTTTGAAAAATCACAAAACGCCATAACTCGAAAACTACAAAGATTTGAGCAGTCGAACTTGGAGCCAAGATTCGCAACCCCTTAGAGTACCCTGAAGCACCCAACTACAGGATAAAAAATTTTAAATTTTGGAGAAATTTTTTTTAAAAGCTTTGAAATTTTTTTGAAAACTCACAAAAAAACGTCATATCTCGAACACTACAAGGATTTGAGCAGTCATATTTGAAGGCAACGTTTGCAATACCTGAGAGAACTCTGATAGCCTCCCATTACAGGAGTGGGAATTCCAAATTTTGCAGAAAAAAATTAGTAGTTTTCTGAAACTTTTAAAAAAAAACTCACTAAAAACGTCAGATCTCAGAGAATAGAAGGATTTGAGCACTCAAACTTGGAGGCAAAACTCACAACTCCTAAGAGTACCGTGACAGTACCCAACTACAGTGTAGAGAATTTCAGATTTTGAAAAAAAAATGATTTAAAATTTTTGAAAAACTCACAAAAAACGTCAAATATATCGTAAATTAAAAAAAATGAGCAGTCATAATTAGAGGCAAAGATCGAAACCCTCTGAGAGTACTCTGATAGATGCGAACTTTAGAGTTGCGACTTTCAAATTTTGAAGAAAAAAAATTTCGTTCAGTTTTCTGAAAATTTTTTGAAAAATCACAAAAAACGTCATATCTCGAAAACTACAAGGATTTGAGGAGTCATATTTGGAGGCAAGATTCAAAATCCTTGGGAGTAACCTGACAGCAACTAACTACAGGGCAGAGATTTTCAAAATTTGAAGGAAAAACATTTCAATTTTTCTGAAATTTTTTTGAAAAAATCACAAAAAACGTGATATCTTGAAAACTACAAGGATTTGAGTCGTCTCATTTGGAGGCACAATTAGCAACCCCTGAGAAATCCCTGAAAGCACAGCAGATACAAGGCAAGGAAATTCATTTTTAGGAAAGAAAAACTATTCAACTTTTCTGAAAAACTCACAAAAAAACTTGATATCTCGAAAATTACAAGGATTTGAGTCGTCTCAATTGGAGGCAAGACTCGCAATCCTTGAGAATACTGACGACACCCAACTACAGGGTTGGGAACTACAAATTTTTAAATATATTTTGTAGTTTGAGTTTTCTGGACGCCAAACTCCCAGCCACTTTGTGAACTCTGACAGCAGCCCACTATTGGGCTGCTTTTTTAACCTCGGTGGAAAAGTCAAACTGGAAAATCGAAAAAAATCTTATCCGTTGCAATACACTATGTAGCTCAAACATGAAAAAATTCTTCCGTTAAGCATCCAAAAACATTATGATAAAAACTTTAACGTGGCGAGATAGTGAAGCCCGCATTCAAAAATATAAAAGATAGATATAAGAAAAGTGATACAAAAATGAGGGATACAAAAAATGATATGAAAGTGATAAAAAAGTGATATAATAAAGTGATTTAAGAAAAAAGATTTTTGAAAAGTGATTTCAAAAATTAATTTTAAAAATGGATATAAAAAAAGTGATATAAAAAAGTGATATAGAAAAGTGATATAAAAAATTATTACAAAAGTGATATAAAGAAGCGATATAAAAAAACTAATACAAAAAAGTAATATAAAACAGTGTAGTAAAAAATGAGGTAATAAAAAAGTGACATAAAGGTATAAAAAAGTGGTATAAAAGGTTTAAAAAAGTGGTACCAAAAAGTTTAAAAAAGTGGTATAAAAAGTGATATAAAAGGTATAAAAAAATCTGAAAAGTTTTTAAAATGGTACAAAAAAGTGGTATAAAAGAAATGTTATAAAAAAGTGATATAAAAAATGCTATAAAAAAGTGATACAAAAAAGATATAAAGAACGTAATATAAAAAAGTGGTACCAAAAGATAGATATAAAAAAGATAAAAGAAATATAGAAGAAATGAAGAAGAAATATAGAAGAACTAAAGAGAAAAATGATAGAAAAAAAATTATACAAAAAAAGGATCGAAAAATGATCGAAGAAAGATCGAAAAAGAAGGATAAAAAAGAACGCTAGCAAAAAAGATAGAAAAAAAAAGATTTGAAAAAATTGAACAGACAATCAAATAATTTAAAAGCAGGTATACAGACAGGGTTTGAGAAAACCACCTTTATTGAGTTGATGAATCTGGCCGTTCGGAATGTCAAGATTCTAACACCTGGCTCAGCAGATACAAGGCAAGGAATTTCATTTTTAGGAAAAAAAACTATTCAACTTTTCTGAAAAACTCACAAAAAACTTGATATCTCGAAAATTACAAGGATTTGAGTCGTCTCATTTGGAGGCAAGACTCGCAATCCTTTAGAATACTGACAGCACCCAACTACAGGGTTGGCAATTACAAGTTTTTTAATATATTTTGTTGTTTGAGTTTTCTGAAAATCTTTGAAAAAAATCAAAAATCGACGTATCTCGTACACTAAAAAGATTTGAGCATTCTTAATTGGACGCCAAACTCGCAACCACTTTGTGAACTCTGTCAGCAGCCCACTATTGGGCTGCTTTTTTAACCTCGGTGGAATAACCACTGAAGTCAAATTGGATAATCGAAAAAAATCTTATCCGTTGCAATACACGATGTAGCTCAAACGCGAAAAAATTCTTTCGTTTAACATCCAAAAATATTATGTTTAAAAGCTTAAACGTGGCGAGATAGTGAAGCCCGCATTCAAAAATATAAAAGATAGATCTAGAAAAAGTGATATAAAAAATGATATAAAAGTAATACAAAAGTGATATAAAAAAGTGATTTAAGAAAAAAGATTTTTGAAAAGTGATTTCAAAAATTAATTTTAAAAATGGATATAAAAAATTATTTCAAAAGTGATATAAAGAAGCGATATAAAAAACTAATACAAAAAAGTAATATAAAACAGTGTAGTAACAAAAATGAGATAATAAAAAAGTGATATAAAGGTATAAAAAAGTGGTATAAAAAGTGGTATAAAAAACTGCTAAAAAAGTGATATAAAAGGTATAAAAAAATCTAAAATTTTTTTTAAAATGGTACAAAAAAGTGGTATAAAAGAAGTGTTAAAAAGAGTGATATAAAAAAGTGCTATAAAAAAATTGATACAAAAAAGATATAAAAAACGTAATATAAAAAAGTGGTACCAAAATATAGATATAAAAAAGATAAAAGAAATATAGAAGAAGAAATGAAGAAGAAATATAGAAAAACTAAAGAGAAAAAATTATAGAAAAAAGTTTATACAAAAAAAGGATCGAAAAATGATCGAAGAAAGATCGAAAAAGAAGGATAAAAAAGAAGGCTAGCAAAAAAAATTTAAAAAAAAATTTGAAAAAATTGAAAAAAATCGAAAAAAGAAAGAAAACCCAGATTAAGATAAAGAGAAAGAAAGATTGGAGAAAACCGTTTGACAGTAGCAGTGCTTTGAACTGAAATGGGTAGACAGACAATCAAATAATTTAAAAAGCAGGTATACAGACAGAGTTTGAGAAAACCACCTTTATTGAGTTGATGAATCTGGCCGTTCGGAATGTCAAGATTCTAACACCTGCCTCGCTCAAAGAGATGGCCTTGCGATGGGCTGCAAACTTTCTGATTATTTAGCCAATATTTGGTTGAAGTGTTTCCAGTCGCGCGTCTCTGTTCTTTTTCTGAATGTTCAGCTCTTTTATAGATGTCACAGATATTTCGTTGTTGTTTTTGTTTATTTTATTCAGTTTTAACTATCAGTGTCTGATGATAAAAAAGAGAAGAATGAAAAAAGAAGGATAGAAAAAAAAAGATAGAGAAAAAAAATCGAAAAAGGATCGGAAAAGACATACAAAGAAAAGATAAAAAAAAGATCGAAATAGAAGGATCGAAAAAACAGATAAAAAGAGATAGAAAAAAGTACAAAAAAAAGATCGAAAAAGACGTATCGAAAAAGGATAGAAAAAAAGGATTGAAAAAAAAAAGATGAAAATAATAGAAAAAAAAGATCGAAAAAGAAGGATCGAAACAAAAAAGGTAGATAAAAAAGATCGAAACAGAAGGATCGCAAATAAGACAGAAAAAAGATAGAAAATCCAGATAAAGAGAAAGGAAGATTGGAGAAGACCGTTTGACATTAACAGTGTTTTGAACTGAAACGTCCAAACCAAATTGAAAATTAAAAAATTAGGAGACGGGTAGACAGACAACCAAATTAATGTAAAAAAGCAGGTATACAGACAGACAGACTTAATTTGGACTCGAAGAAAAATTACTGACATTGCGGAAAACTAATTTAAAAACTTTCTTAAGCATTGCAATATATGATATAGCTATAACTATAAAAATTCTTTCGTTAAACATGCAAAATGAGTATGCTTAAACATGGGAGATAGCTGTCAGTAGCATTCAAATATAGTATAGATATAGATAGATTGATTTCGAAAAAACACAAAGAAAATTTATGGCATCAAATACTTGCTCTATTGCATGATGAAATCCAGAAAACTAATAGAAACGGCCCCAATCATAATACAAGTCCGCGCTGTGGCAACTTAACGGACAGAAAATAAAAAGACAAAGATAGTTCGACTAGTAATTTTTAGAGCAAACCATTGATGACCTTTGTGGTCACACCAAAGCATGCACTTTACAGGCAAAATGAAAAATTCTGAACTTATTTACAATTAAAATAAAAAGAAGTCAACTAGGCGAATTAACAAAAAGTATAGTACCGGTTGCAATACGCTTACTAATGGCGAGGGCGAAAAAATGTTTAACGAAAACTGGGAGAACAATTAAACCTGGCATACCTTGAAGCAACAGGTGGCTTGCGTTTTAACGCCGCCTCTTGATCCTTGCGTTGTTTGTTTTCCATTTTCAAGAGCAACAACTTATGAACATCGTCTTTAGACTTCACATCAGACGGGTCCAACATTGGTGACTCGAATCCCAAAAAGGAACTTCTCAATTTATATCTAGCTTGATAGTCCATAGAAGTGTGGTAACTAGACATCTCGAATTACTGTTGCATAAACTGAAATAAGAAAAACTTTTAACCAATCGATACAAGCTAACTTTCGACCAACCGATACAAGCCAAAGAAACTTTGAACAGAGGTGAAATTGAGCTTCGCACCACGTGCGATACAAAAATGAATATCTATGATAACAATAAAAAGAAAAAAACTTTAAAACAACCTTTATAAATATATATATATAACAAACGCAAAGCCAAAAATACCAGGAACAAAATAACATGCACCATAAGACACTTAACAAGGAGTTTTTAGTAAGCTAGAACAAGAAAGAACACTTCAATTACGATATAAAAACCTATGCATCATTACAATAAACTGTAATGAAGATTAGTTCAGGTTTTCAGATTAAGTTCTTCAGTATTATTTTTTAAGGTCAATTAAACAAATAATTAAAATTCGATGAATTTACTGCTGGAATAAAAACATCAAATTAGGACGTGGCATATACATATAATACAAACGTGTTTTAAGTTTAAACAGTTGAAACTGAAGAATTTACGTAAAATTAACTGGTTATCTATATAAATTTTTCAATGAAAACGGAACCGACTTCATCCATTTGTGTGCGTACCTGCTGGATTAGATTGCATTTGACTAATGTAAAATTCTTTCACTTTTTTTTCGTAAAAGTTGAAATAGTGTTGTCAAATTTCCGTAATTTAACCGACAATTAGTTCCATTTTTTTGTGAGAGCTGGAAATAAGATTTTTGTAGAGAAGCCGTTGAAGGTTGAGAAATTTTTTTAGAGAGGTTTTTAAAAATGTAAATTACAAACGTTTCCGCACATTCGTGCATCATCGCGTTTCAAGGTATTGAATTTTTGTAAAATGATCATCGATCATAAAAATATCCTAGGACATAGGCTATACAAAATAATAAAAATTCAACCAATCAGATGTTTCAACTTTGTAAAACAGAACCGAGAGAGACAACCGAAATAACAAGACGTTATACAGTCAAAGAAGAACACGTGGAAAACGAAGCCTCTTAGCGTGATAACACGACACGATTAGACGCTTAGCTGGGAGAGATAAGACAGAACCAAGGTCAAGATACGAACCCTCCTGCGCCACGAAATGGGAGAGATAACAGCGTTATCTCCGTGCAAAACGGAATTGGATTACCGGTACCCAGAGACTGTTGTTTATATGTGAGAGACTCTTAAACGCATAATTTTAGTTGCAGTCTCTGGTAAAGAAAATTTGTTGGCCTAATTGTTGTGATAAACTTATTAAATAGATTTCTTTGTTCAAATTTACCGCTTGTGTGTTTTCATATCATATGCGCGCTGGGCTTTCCTCTTCTGGTTATCTTACCAAATCTCGCCGTCCCAGCCGTAGGCGAGTGAAATTTCTCTGGCGTAACTAGACGCAAGAAGGAGTGAGCTGGTGAATCGACCTCCAAACCGACGTCAGGTTGTACCACTCCTTTCTTTTTTTTCTCTTTTTTTCTTTTTTTTTCTCATCGCCTTTGCCTCAGAAATTTTAAACCCTAAATGAAAGTATTCATAAATCACCCCAAAGAGCTTCCTTTCTCGCGCCAGTTGTCTGTGTTGTGTTTCAAGTTGATGCCGCGATTCCAGGCAAGACGCATCCCTGAGTTCTCACAGAAACTAGTTATCGGGACTTCAAGGACCAAATATCTCAAACCAGCTCTAGTAAAATCAACAATTCAATCCTACCGCGGCGCAACGCTTCATGATCTGTTTGAAACAGTTTTACAATACAGACCAAAGCGCCTAAATACAGTAACAATAGTTGCTGGATACAATGACAACAGGCTGCATCCACAAAAATTAGAACGGCAGTGGAAAAACTTGATTAACCTCGTCACTAACAAGTTTCAGCCCAAGACACTGATCATCCCCAAAACAATTCAGAACTGTAATAATTCCGAAGTAAACCGCAATATTTATATTCATAATCATGTGCTGTTTAATTTGATAAATAGATTTGTACACCCCCATACACTTATTGTTTTGAGTAACCTCAACCTAAATCTAACCCCTCAAATGTTCTGCCGCGATGGCATCTATTTCTCGTTCTACGGTAATGATTTCTTTACAAATTTTCTAGCAAATTTAATCTATAAATTCTCTCGCTAACTTGACACCGCCGTCCTTCCTAAAATGGCTACTCAAACACACTGCCTTATTTGTAAAAGCAGCCTACGAGGCGGAGGTGTTTGGTGCTTCACATGTCCAGGCTACATGCATGTAAAATGCAGCGGCCTAGCCCGCAGCAGTGATCACTATGACGATTTCAGTTGTCATCGCTGCACCTCCCATTTTCATTTAGCTAACGACAAGCATGAATGCAATCCCTCAACCCTAGCTACAACCACGCTCCCCCAAATGCACCCTCACCCTTCACCTGCCCCACACTCACAAAACTCAGGAGAGTCTTCCACTATAGAACCCAGAACAATACAAGACCCATGGTCAAACCCCTGCCCAGAACTCATAGAAACCACCAGGAAAATATACACCGAAGTGGTCCACTGGAAACCGGTCTTTATGATCTTGTCAAAAATTAAAGTTGGTTATAACTTCATTGAAACCCTCAATAGAACTTTGAACAGCCTAATAGAAAACAACGAAAATACCTTCGCAATGCACGCAGCAATGATTTTTCCACACTTATTACTGTGCAAAACAAAGTCCGAAATTGATGGATCTTTATCCAAAACAATAGCAAGGCGACTTAAGCAATGGCAAGACGGAGACCTGGATGGACTATATAACGAAGGAAAGGCGCTGCAAATGCGCTTGTTGAAAGGAAGTAGAAGAGAAACTGAAACTGAAGCACAACAGTTCAACAAACTAATGAATACTGGAAAAATATCAAGAGCAATTGCAAAACTAACAGACACATCTGAAGGCGTTCTTTCGCTCGACGAGATTGTCAAAGGTAAGACAGTTGAACAGACTCTCGTAGAAAAACACCCACCATCTGAACCAATTAATGAGAACTATATTACACCAGTCTCAAACGAAATAATTCCTTTCCATTCATCGATATTTAATCAGATAAACGGTCAACATATCAAGAAGGCAGCCATGAGAACTCACGGGTCATATGGACCATCTGGCCTCGATGCGAATGAATGGAGACGTATTCTAACACACTTCGGGCAACAATCAGTTGAAATTTCAAAAAAAATTGCTAAAATTGCCAAAAAATTAGCCACAGAAGAACTAAATCCAGAATTAATGGAACCATATAACGCATGCAGATTAGTACCCTTAGATAAGAATCCAGGGGTAAGACCCATAGGCATAGGAGAAGTTATGCGTGGGATAATAGGGCGAACAATAACTAAATGCTTAAAAAACGATTTCATGTCGCTCGGTTCAAACTACCAACTCTGCCTAGGACAAAAATGTGGCATTGAATATGCGATCCACACGCTAAGAGATCAATACAGCAAAACTTCCGCCGATGCTGTTTTACTGATAGATGCCGAAAACGCTTTCAACTCGCTGAACCGAAAGCTGGCATTAAAAAACATAGAAAATACCTGCCCTTCCCTTTTAACAGCGATTAAGAACTCCTACTGCAAACCATCTAAACTATTCGTTAACAAAAAAACAATCTACTCTCAAGAAGGGACAACCCAGGGGGATCCACTAGCAATGGCCATGTACGGTCTAGCCATAATACCCCTCATAAAATTTTTATCAGTAGACGATGTAACCCAGAAATGGTACGCAGACGACGGAAACGCAGTCGGTAAATTAAGCAATCTACGAACCGTCCTCGACAAAATTGTATCACTGGGTAAATTTTTTGGCTACCACGTGAAAGCATCCAAATGCCAACTCATTGTCAAAGATGAAAACCTCGGTGAAGCTCAGAAAATCTTCGCAAATACAGGAATCTCTATAAAGGCAGGAGCCCGAGTGCTTGGTTCAGTTATAGGAACAGAAACTGAATGTAAAAGTTCCTCGAATTTCAACAGAATGAGCAAATCAAAATTTTGAATAAATTAACGAAAATTGCTAAAACCTCCCCTCAAAACGTTTATGCCTGCTATACTAAAGGAGTTCAAGAAAAGCTTTCATTTCTTGCCAGGACAACGCCTTACACCATGGAAAACTTAGAAATATGTGAAAATATTATCAAAGAACAATTATTACCTAACCTAGTCGGTAAAGACACTTTAAACCCCCAGTTCCGTGAGATATCTTCCTTACCCCTTAAAATGGGCGGAATTAACATCAAGCTGCCATCCGATCATGAAAACTACCTAGAATGGTCTAAGGAAACATCACTGGTACTGGAATCTCAAGATCCTATTACAGCAGTAACACAGCAAGAAAAAATATGTACGAAAATCAAAAAATTGAAAACTGATAGAACAAATCGAAAAAAAAGCAAACCTCATTAACTCCTTAAATGAAACAGATAAATACGCAATCGAACTGGCCTCTGAAAAGGGAGCCTCTAACTGGCTCAATGCTCTACCACTGAGCAGATACAACTTCTACCTGAATAAATCAGAGTTCAGAGATGGTATTTACTTAAGATACGGATGGGAACCAACCAAAACCCCACTCACATGTGCATGTGGTGCTGATTTTAATTTGACACATGCGCTTCACTGTGCAAAGGGTGGTTACACACACATAAGACACAATGAAATCAGAGACACATTCGCCAACCTCATGAACGAGGTTTGCCATGACGTCGAGATTGAGCCGAAACTTCAGCCGTTGCAAGGCGAAAGCTTTGTGAACAATTCAACTACAACTGAAGATGAGGCACGACTTGACATTAAGGCAAACGGACGCTGGGGTTCACGATTCAGCCGCGCTTTCTTTGATGTGAAAATTTTCAACCCCCATGCCAAAACATCGCGAAATCTGCATAAGGATGCATACAAATACCACGAAACGCTGAAGAACTCCAAATATCAGCAAAGAATTTTAAACGTAGAGCAGAGTAGCTTCTGCCCGCTAATGTTTGGATGCACTGGTGGCGCTGCTCCAACAGCCA